AATTCTGGGAGTTGAAGTCCACACGTCTTAAAGTTGCCAAGGTTGAGAAACACTGCCATAGAGGTAGGACTCAGCCGGCCAATTGTAAGTGTCAACAGGTCCTAGAGTGTGGATAAAACAGCAGGGAGAGTCAGGTGATTAAGTGTGTGTGTGTGTGTGTGTGTGCACGCGCGCACACGTACCCCTGCAGACCTGTTTTACATTAAAAGTATGGTCTAGAAGTAGGAAAGGCTCAGAGAGCCACGGGGGCCAATAACTAGCATTTCATAGCCGCTTAGGGCCAACGTTCATTGAGCGTTGCAAAAGAAAAGTGTCTGAACAATTCCTCTGAATTGTTCCCTCGGAGAACCATCAGCAGCCGTTCTGTTATCCAAGGAAGCCTTCGAGATGGACGTCAAGAGCCTCAACAAGCCAAGGGTTGGCTTGCCATGCTCTCAAGAATGTGAAAGCCTCTTGCTAGCCCAAACGTTCCTCCTCCCTTCAAGCTATGAGTTTCATTGCAACACCGATGGCAGGCTGGCCCTCCCAGGGAACATCTGTCTGCAGAAAAATGGGATGGCCTGCCTTTTATACTTGTTGTGTAGGCCAGTGACCCTGGGGAGAGGACACGTGGGCCTCTGCCCACGGACTGAGGTTGAGTCATGCCCCTTCTCAATCGCCTCGCAGTCTCTGAAGCCACCACCTTTCTGTGTGCTCGAGCGTCCTTGCTCTCAACAGCATGACCCTCTCCAGCCTCGTGATGGAGGAATCTCCTGGATGTCAACAGCACTTCCTCTTCTCCTGCTCCCCAGAGGGTTTGGGGCAGGACGCTGAGGGTTTGAGCAACTTGTGCGCTCACTTGCGACAGCCCCTGAACTTAAGTCATGGCCTGAAGGAAACTAGTGGGTGGGGGAACAGGAGCATTACCCAAGAGGGTGGGCAGACGCCATGGCAGCATTTCCATGCTGCTTGGCCCAGAAACACCCGGAGAGGGAGTCCCGCCGTGCAGTCCTTTCTTCCAGCAATCTTACGAAATCCACATCTTCACCCAGTGGAACTAGCAATACATACATTTTGAAGCAAGGAGATGTTGGATTAGGTGGCCAGGCAGGCAGCAACAGAGTTTTCCTTTGCTCTGGGCAGCGGATGAGAGAGGCTAAAACCTAAACGGAGTTCATTTACATTTCAGTTTAATTAAAATTATCCCCATTTCAGATGATGATTTTCCTTTTCCATCTTCCCATGTTACCTCACCATAAGTTCTACAGTGGGTGGGCGGTGCAAGGCCACACCAATCTTTCCGATGCGCATCTTTATCTAAAGGGCCCCTTCACGAAAACTCTTGCTTCCATGTTCCTGAGAAAGTTCAATGAAGAAACCTCTTGTCATGTGGCTTATCTCATTCTTCCTCTTTGCAAGACATCAGGCTTGCTCAACCACACCCCTCCCTGACGTGTTCAACAAACATGAATCCTCAGCTGCTCAGGATTATAGGCGTTGAGGTCCAGCACATCTAAAGGATTCCAGGATGGAGGAGGCCGAAATACACCTTCACCCAACTCCTTCATCGACGTTGGTCAGACGAAAAAAAAGACAGACCCTTAGAGTGACCGTTCTTGGCAGAGAATACATGCAAGCCACGTGGGTCCTACAGTATTTGGCATGACGTCCTGTCCAGAATTGCTCAACAGTGTGGAGGGATGTTGTTGACCCTTGGGCTCTCCCCCCATTGCTCCTTCATGTGGGAGTGAAGGCATTCTCTCACCCTATCAGAGTCAGGCAGACTTTTACAGGCAATAAATATGTTACTGCTTCATTTCTTTTGGAGGAACGCGCAACCCACAGGAGTGGCTATTGATGGAAGGGGAAATGATAGTGCTGTTTCTGAAATTCTGCTTTTCATGCACACGGATGCGTGTGTCTGCCTTTGCCACTCAGATATGTCAGGGTTAAAACTTGCCTTTGGTGGCCACAGCGGCACCCTAAGCGTAAGCCAACCAAGAGGGCCAAAATAGAATAGAAAGGACACCCCCCAAAGCCGACCAACTGGTGTTAGTCCCCCACGCCCAGGCAGCTAAGTGGGCAACGGCTCCCTACATTCACTTCTCTCC